CAATCAGAAGTCAAGGCAAATGACTGAGTTGTCTTTGGCTCTTGTTAACATGTTACTCATACCACTCAGCTGTTTATTCGAGGAGTCCAAGTCATGTTTTGAAGTGGCTGAGGAATTAGCCTCTATTAGTAGTCTACATAAAACAACTACAGGCAGGAATAATTTCAAAGTAGTTCAGAAAATACTAATGAAGTACAACCTGAAAGGGTATCTATAACAAACAGTAGTTAAAAATGTGTGGAGCTTAAAACAGCTTAGTTGGGCAAATTTAGTCCATCTAATAATTCTACTTGATTATTTTCTTGATATTTACAGATTTATCACCGCCAATGGACGTTCCCAATTACATAATGAATTTTGAAATAATACACAAAATCTTATTATAAACCAGCACTAATGAATGTTTGCAATGAATTTTGATAATAGAGAATACTAACTTGGAACTTCAATTAAGCAAAATGTTATCCCTCACACCCAAAAAGAAATTCCATTATTGCCATTATCAAACCAGTATTACAGATGATTATCATGCATTGTACTTGCCAGTAAAAATTTGTGAAAATTTGACTTACCTCTCATTACATAAGTACCTACATAATTTATTTGATTTTGTCTATCGGTTGTAAGCCTAAAATACTACTTTCTGGCTCTTTAAAGAAGATGTTTCTCAATCCCCAATTTAAATCACTACATTTAAACCACTTTAAATCACTGTAGACTAAAAAACTGTAAGGCAATAACGAAAATACACTGAAGACTGGGCATAGTGGCTCCCACCTGTAATCTCAGCACTTTCAAAGGCCAAAGCAGGAGGATCGTCAGCAACCAGCCTGGGCAACATAGTGAACCCTGTCTCTACAGAAAATACCAAAATTAGCTGGGTGTGGCAGTACATGCCTGTGGTCCCAGCTGAGGTGGGAGGACTGATTGAGCCCAGGAGACAGAGGCTGCAATGAGTTCTACTGCACTTCAGCCTAAGTGATAGAACAAGACCCTGTGAAAGAAAAGACAGAGAGAAAAAAAAAGAGAGAGAAAGAGAAAGAGAGAGAAGGAG